GCTACCACTTGAGCCACATCCCCAGCCCAATAGTACTAATTAATTCTTAATTAGTAAGAATTTAAGGAAAAAGCAAAAGGCTTCTGTCATTTTCTGGGATGAGAGGGAGGAAATACATCTTGTCTGAAATAATTTCCCCAGGGTTCACATGGGCACTGTCACAATGCCCAGGTCTATTTCCAAGGAGCTCTGTACTGTCATTTGACTCTCAGATTCGCTATGCTCCTCCATTCTACTCTGGTTCAGAGGATTGCCCTGTATGAACTATGTCAATAAGGTTCCATAACCCCTGGCTTCTGGTTGGAATTGGCCCAACCAAAGGTTAAAGTTTCTCTTAAGAGAGCGAGTCTCTCCATGATTCTCTTTCCTTTCATGTTCTCATAACCACTCCTTTACTTTGGCCTTTCAGGATTAAAGGTTGTTAACATCTTGGCCGTACAAAAGCCCTGTTATTTCATTTTCTTTTGTTGTTTCTCTACACCAACACCTTTGTAAACAGCTCCTCTATAAACCTTCCTTAAACTGTACTATTTTGAGCACACCATCTGTTTCCTATGGGGATCCTGACTGATACAAGCTCTAATTACATAGCACATCTATTAACCTGGTCCAAGAAGGTTTTAATATGAATTGGAAAGGGAAACAAATAATAATAGCAAAGACACAGTTCTTTTCTTTTAGGGAATATCATGCTCCAAACATTCTTTATTTTATATACTAGTTTTTATGGATCAAACCCAGTGCTTCACATGTGCTAGGCAAGCGCTCTACCATTGAGATACAACCTGCAAAAAAAACAGTTCTAAAAGCGTTTATTTACTTAACACAACCACCTCTGAGGTGGATAACATTATTCTGTTTGTTTTGTTTTGTTTTTGTGGTTCTGGTGATTGAACCCAGGGCTTTGCGCATATGAGTGAGTACTCTACCAACTGAGCTATATTCCCAGTCCCCCGTTATTCTGTTTTACAGACAAGAAAGCTCAGGTACAAATATACTAAGTAATCTGTCTAAAGCTCATATAGTAAGTGTTGGATTTGGGATTTTAGCCCTGATTCTGGCTCCAGAGTCAATGCACTATCTATAATAGATAGGTGAAGAACTGGACACAAGGGACCAGGTACAGTGGTGCACACCTGTAATCCCAGCTACTGAGGAGGCTGAGGCAGGAGGATTGCAAATTTGAGGCCAGACTGGGCAATTTAGCAAGACCCTGTCTCAAAAAATACAAGGGCTGCTGGGTATGGTGGCAGATACCTGCAATCCCAGTGGCTTGAGAGGCTGAGATAGAAGAATCACAAGTTTAAGGTCAGCCTCAGCAACTCAGTGAGGCCCTAACCAACTTAGAGAGAGCCTGTCTCAAAATAAAAAATAAAAAAGGGCTTGGGATGTGGCTCAGTGGTTAAGCATCCCTGGGTTCAATACCTAGCACCAAAATAAATAAATAAATAAATAAATGGGCTGGGCATGTACTCAGTAGTAGGGTACCTGGGAGGAAAAAAGAACAAAAAAAAAAAAAAAAAAAAAAAA